GTGTGAGGAAAGCGAGCTCTACCCTGTGAGTGTGGAGTGCGCGGCGCTGAGCAAGGTCTCCAGCGGCACATGCGTGCTGGCCGGGCTGCCACTGGGGACATCACTACAGGACAAAGCGTAGACGCAGAGGGATCCTCTGATTTGCCGCTGACATCATTAAAAGTACCACTTACCCCCGCTCGCCCCATATAACACTTACACTTAAAATCGACGAGACTCTGCCTCCTGCACTGGGTCCTCCTCGTTCCCTAAACGCTAGCACACCCCGGCACAGGCTGCGGGTGACTGTGTCCCTGTCCCCACACAGACTCCATCCTTCACGGGGCCGCAAGTGACAGCCCGGCGCTGGTCAGGCCAGAGCAATGCCTTGGTCCCTCACCTCCCTTGGGCCCTGAGTCCTGCTTCCACCTCGACGTCAGCGTCCTAATCCGTGGGTTTAACGTGGACGTAACGCTGGCAGAACGTCTCTGCATCACGCACCCTAAGATGCCATCCCAGCCAACGCCGCGGCCCCGGGTGGAGCTGTCCCACTGGCCCGTCCCGTGTCGCCCGTGACCGCCGTGCTCATCCTAAAGCCCAGCCCTTAGCACGTCCACGTCAGCCAGCCCCGAGCGACAGCTTTCGAGTGACGGCTGCAAGAGCCACTGGCCACGTCACATTCCACTAACTTCAGTGTTACAGCCTCGGCGACACCTTAGAAAATCCAGAAAACCCGAGTGCTGTAGAAATCGAAGTTTGTAAATTCTGAAACCCAAAGGAGCTGACGTTACTTATGAATGAAGGACAGACACTGAACAGGGCATGACCGCTGCCCCGAGCGCTGGGGACACCCGCGTCAGAGCTGAGCGAGAAGACGGGATTCTCGGTAAGCGCTACATCGGTTCCACGATGTAATCATCCTGGGGAAGAAGTTAATGATGACATGATCGTCAGAGGATCCTAGGTGACAAACTGCGTACAGAGACGTAGCAGAGAAGACTTGAAACCGAAAAAAATCTGAAGTCACAGTTTTAACCAATCGTATGGCTTCAAGTCCTGCTCTAGTTAAGCCAACCAGCAGGAAAGCCTGAAATTTCGTGCAGATGATTCATCGGAGTGAAACTCAAGATGCGGAGCGGAAGAGGAGGCTGCCACCTTGTCCTTACGCCTCCCCTGGGTGGATCCCACTGCCCCCTCATGGATGAGCCCCACTCCCTGACGGACCGGCCCCACAGCGGCCCTGGCCGTCAGCGTCTTGTGCTCGGCCATGAGCTTGCTGTCCCGTAACCCGCACCGCACGGTCACGGGCCGCCGCCCCGAGTGCCTCTCTGGTGGAGGAGACCCGGCCCGGCCTCTGCCCCAGCGGACACACGGGTCCCCGGCAGCGGAGAGAGCGGGCGGCCGCACCTCTGGGCCGCTCTGCGCACGCCCTGTTTCTGGAGTGTCCGGCCGCAGTTTCCGTTATCACCCTGATGATTACCGATAGTTCCACACTAGCGAAGTCTAAGCTAGTGATTTCCTGTTCGTTTTTTCAAAAATCCTCTTTATAGCATGGGAAGTTTAAGCGTTTGCTAGACGGAGGCTGAATTTACGAAAACGACAATAAAACTGTCTTATTAACCAACACCAAAGCAATAATATGTTTGGCCTCGAGGAAGAAAGGATGATTTTAGCCAGGGAGATTCCAAATTTTCCAAAATACCCTTCCTTTATTAAAGTATATGTGAAAGCAACAATATTTATATTAAAACGGTACAGACTCAACGAGCTACGTGTGGGGTCGTGACGGCAGGTGGCTCGCAGGTCCCGGTTACAGAGCGTGGTGTGTAGGGACGTCGGCCCTAGCCCGCACGACCCCGCGGCCCTAGCCCGCACGACTGTGTGGGGTCGTGACGGCAGATGGCTCGCAGGTCCCCGGTTACAGAGCGTGGAGTGTAGGGACGTCGGACCTAGCCCGCACGACCCCGCGGCCCTAGCCCGCATGACCCCGCAGCCTGTCGTCTACGCAGACGTCCCCACAGAGGGCCGGGAGGACTGAGACATTAATTACAAAGAAATGCTACCTTTACAGCAGAGAGACCTAGGGGACACCGAGTGAATCAAGCGACCGAAATTAATGTCACCGACCGATAACAGGACCAAGTGACATCATCTGCCACCTGATGTGAATCACTGAGGTAGACACGCATCCATCACGAAGCACTCCTGCCAGAAATGCACAGAGAATGTGTAGCCTAAACCTATTCGTGAGGAAACGTCAGAAAATTCAACATTTCAGAGATCTTTTAACAACTGTCAGCCATTATTTTCAGGAACCCCAATGTCATCAAGGACGAAGAATGAGAGACTCTTCCAGGCTAAATGGGGCTGAAGAAACCCAGCACCCGAGTGCCGCGCAGGGACGTCCCCTGGGTTCCGAGTAACGGTGAAGCCTGGCCGGGGACCGAACGCTAACATCAGACGTGCGATGTCGGTTAAGTCTCGTGACTCTAAAAGCTGCGCCCAGCTCTGCAGAGGGAGCTCCCAGGCTCTGGGAAAGTGGGTGCTGCAGTATGTGGGGCTGAAGACGTAACATACACAACAGACTCACAAATGAGGACAAACGTGGGGAGGGAGACGGCTGTGGATGGCAGGGAGGGAGCTTGAGAGAAAGAGAGCAGCACTGCACGAAAAATCGGGGTGCAGAGTCCACGGGGTTCTCTGCATGATCCTCGAAACGCTCAATCTGAAGTATTTCCAAAATTAAAGAATTTAAAAACCCCGCTGGTGTAAGGTTTCCTTAGGAAGTTTATGAACCTCCAGGAAACACCACATCTAGTAAATGCGATGGTGTGTCTCTCTTAAAATCAGGATGACTCAGAAAAGGTAACCTATTGGTTTTCTTTTTAAATAAATGATTGATCACTATTTGGTGCTTTTTATCCACGGCCATTTACTGTTCAAGTTAGACTGAAGTTTAAAACGGTATTTTCACCTATTAGATTGGCTAAAAACTTAAAGGAGAAATACTATCCATCACGCACATATTTTTATGAAAATTAGCACGGCCATTATACCGCAGCTGTGTGCTGAGTTGGCAAACATTTTCAGGGCAATTTCACACTATCTACTGAAATCAAAAGCATGAAGAACTGGTGATTCGACAATGCCACATCTGGAAATCGATCTCGTAGATTTAGCAGCATGAGTGCATGAAGGTAGATACATAATTATACACATTACGCTATACGCAGCCGCAGAAACGAACAGTTAACCCGTATTTCTCGAACAGAGAAACGGATGAACCCCTTACGACATGCACTTTACATCCAGTGAGCAGTCTGTAGGTAAGCTGTATTTACTGGTCGGGAAACATGTCCACAACATATGAAAAAGTTGCAAAAATCGTATCTCATAATGGTGGCAAATTTGTAAAATAAATTCCAAGTAAACTCATATAAGCTTAGAAAAGTTACTGACCACTGCAGCACAAATGGTAACCCTCGTCAGCCCTAGAAACCAGGAGTGGACGGTGGAGGGTGGGTGACCACAGTGTGCTCTGAGGGGCCCCGTTTCAACACACAAGGCGACACACCGCCTATGTGGACGGGTGGGTAGTGCAGTGAGCGTGCCCTGGTGACCGTGTGGTTTGTGTCCGGGAAGTGGACAGCTGGACCTTCCAGTAAACACAGCCCCCTGGATCAGGCCCGCGAAGGCGAAGGAGCCCGCAAACAAGAATCGGGGTGACGGGGTGACGGGGACGTTTCTTTGGTACCTTGCATGTTTTATTCCCATCTTAAAAACCCAGTGATACCAGCAACATGACGGAACCGCGTGTTCCACAGACACCATCGCCACGGCTCGCGAGCGTTCGACGGGGCCCCAGGGAGAGGCCGGCCCGGCAGGCCCAGGCCGCACTACAGAATGGGCCCCAGTGGGCTCGGCACAGAGAGACGCTGCGCAGTCCACGCAGGACACGCATCGTTTCGTGAGGCTCTCGTCTGGGTTCTTGCCAAGAACTGCGGGCTCGCGGTTCTGACGAGGAACGAAGGGTCTTACCGACGGTCCCCAGACGGCACGTGGGGAAGGCCGGCGAGCGCGGGTGGTGACCACGGTGTCGTGAGCTGCATCTGCCACACACACGCACCTCGCTCACGTGGATCCAAGTGCAGTGAGGTCAACGGAGCGATGGAGGCAGAAGCCACGTGACACGGAGCTCAGGGGAGCGCGTCCAGGCGGCACCTGTCCCCGTCGGCCGGCTCAGTTCCTGGGGCCCCGCGTGTCCTCTGAACGCGCAGGTGTCGACGGTGTCGGGGCCACTGTGGTGGGGCCGGCAGGGGGTGTCCGGGCCCTGTCCCCGCTCACCACCTGGGAGAGGGAGACACCGCGGGTGAGGACGGCAACGGCTCCAGCGCCAGCCACGGGCACGTCCTCCTGCCATGGGGCTGGCCGGCGCCGGGAAAGACCGCGCCCGCGGCCCTGGAGCCGAGCGTCTGCCCCGCGACAGAACCGCGGGACGTTGCGTACGAGGACAGTGAACCGTGGTTCTCCCTCCGTGAGGGCCGAGGGCCCGTCTCCCAGAGCAAATGATTTCCGTGCCATTCGCCTGCACGAGCATCTGGGAACCAGCATTTCCTGTGCGACTCACGCTAATTCACCGACCGGTTCAGGGTTAAAACGTAAAATGCACACAGAATGGTCTGAACAAGCACCAAGAATGGACTGTGCCAACGGAAACCCTTCTGAGCCCGAACCCCGTCACCGCGACACCCACGTGTCTTCCCCCCCCCGCTCTCCCGGATGCTTCGCAGGCAACTTCTGAGGGGCGACTTCATGTGCCACTCAATAAAATCTCCGCTTGTGACCTATGAAGTGCTATTTACTAACAAGAGACAACTCTAAAACCCTGGGTTAAGCTACAGCCTGGAAATAACTACAAAGGCCCCTTGACAGGTCTGATGAAAACGCGTCAGATCACCCGTGAGCACCGCGCCCGTCATCAGCACGGCCGCAGGCTGCCCCAGAAGCGGAACGCAGGCCTCAGGGCTCCTACCTGGCCCGAAGCTCTTGGTCCTTGTCTGTGAAAGATGCTTGTGAAAGAAAGAAAGAGAGAAGCGTAGCTTGAAAACATTGCAACCGTCTTCATTCAATGAGCAAACAAAGGGGTGTTAGGAGCCGCCTCCCACCACGCTCGCCTGGGACACCCCCAACTCCCGTGTACCCACTGATGACGTGATGACACCCCAAACGACGCACCCGGAAATGAAAGCCGGCCCCCACCGCCATCAGGACCCACACCACCTGTAGCGAGCTCTCCGTCGCATGGCTCCTGGCGGCTTCACACCCTTTCCTGTTCTGGCCCCACCTGCCCAACCCTCCGTCCTTGTCCCTCTATCCACCCGGGGCCCAGGCACTCGAATGACACAGAGAAGCGGAAATGCTGATCCTGGAACATTTACTGTTTCAACGAATCTGCAATTTACGGAGCGTTCAGAGGCTGCGGTCTCTGTCCGGCTGACGCAACCCTCTACCGTGAGCGTAGGTGAGACCAGCGTGTGAGGCCACGTCATCTGTGTCACCACCACGTCAACATCCAAGTCTTTTTACCCATCTTTGTATCTAATTGGCAATCACTCCACAATCTTAAACCTTATATTTTATGGAATTCATGTGGTTTTGGACTTTTTCCCCTCCTTAATCTCTCCCCCACTCCCTCTCCTGACCTAGGGATGCTGCCATCCCACAATCTTAAACCTTATGTTTCATGGAATTCATGTGGTTTTGGACTTTTTCCCCTCCTTAAACTCTCCCCCACTCCCTCTCCTGACCTAGGGATGCTGCCATCACCCTTCAAGAACTGGATCTCTGAAGGCGGGGCGTACCCCCCGACAACGCGCTAGCAGTGTCCACCCGGGGTATGGTCCGTGGCTCCACCTGGGGCGCGAACCCAGGACCTTCTACGTATAAAGCAGACGTGCTGACCGCTGTGCTATGGAGCCACCCCGTGCTTTTGGATTTTAAAATATGATGAAGAAAATTGGATTCCCCATCAAACTAGTCAAAAAAATAAGGAAGAAAACAGCACACCGATGTTACACCCTCTACGTGTAAAGCAGACATGCTGACCGCTGCGCTATGGAGCCACTCCGTGGTTTTGGATTTTAAAATATTACGAAAAAATTGGATTCCCCGTCAAACTGGTCAAAAAAAATAAGGAAGAAAACAGCACACCGATGTTACCGGTTCTTACCAGCATTCTCGAAAGTACAGTCCACAGAAAGAAAGGGTGACCACGCATGAGTCTGGGCTGACACAACGTCAAGACGGTGAAGATTCTAGGGGTCTGACTTCCTAAACCGGTCCCATCTCGGGTAAAACTGTGGGGAACATGGGGAAACTGTGAGATATGCGTGACAAACGTAAAATACAAGGTCAAGCTCCTAAAAGTCCCCCAGGTATTTACGCATTTTTCATGCATCGCAGTTGACTTCTGTCTGTTTTTTCTTAGTATCACCACAGTTCGAGAATCTGATCACTAAACTTTTCTAATTTGGTAAGTAACAAATTAGCCTATGTTCCCAAGAGTCTGTCCATCTTTTCATTCAACTTTACACCGGACTTTACTACTGTTACCTATTTTTTTCCCAGTGATGAAATTCCTGACCATCCTTCTTAAAACCCATCTCTGCTTCGGTCCAGCTCTGCAGCGTATCTACACACTGACCCCCACGTCCCTCCATCATCCCGGCCCGTCGTGTCTGCACCTGTCCATCTGAACAGAATCATGTACGTCTGTATCGTACTGCGACATTCCACGCTGCGGTCCACGTGGTTCTAGCTCGCGGGTGTCTATCTCCACCTTCGCTGAAGGCCGAGTCCATCAAACACACACCCACACCTACCCCGACCGCTTCTTCCCAGACACCCAAGCTTCTGGATTCCTGCTTGTAGCCACCGCTCAGAGATTCTAGCTCATCCATTCTTACATTCAGCCAGCTGTGAATTCAGCCTCCATCATCGTACCCTAAATTCCACAAAGCAATAGTCTCACATCCATTTTTCCGAGCTTCTTCCTTAACATCCACTCGTGTTCCTTATCCATTGATGCTTAAATCTACTTGAGTTTAATTATTACGTACAAAGCTTCATTCACCATCTCGCGTCCTTTGCTTCCAACTATTCAGACCTACAACCAAGCTTTAAACCGTCAACCCAAACCCTCCATCCTACGCATTCATGGGCCGGCCCTTTAATTCTCGTGGGCGATTTATCCATCTACGGTGGTCAGCGTGAAGTCGCAGCCGCTCCGAGTCTCAGGGACTGCGCGGGACCTTACTTCTCCCTCTGGGAACAGGGCGGGGCTTCTCCCGAGCAGCCCTGCTCCACGTGTCCCAGGCCAGTCTCCTTTTGTGGCACCTGGGCTTCGACACCGGGTCCTGCGATCGCCACGGGTAAGACGTGAAGAATCACAGGCTCTGCGGGACCTGCGCCATGACATGAGCCAGGCGCCCCACACTGAGAACGCCGTCCTGCCCACGGCACCGAAAATCTGCGCTTCAGGCTTAAAATGACCTCGGGGCTCCCACGGCTTCCCTGTGGGATTCTCTCTCACTGCCAACCCCCAAAATAACAAAGCAGGATAACGTGGACGGGACCATGTGGCAGGGGCCTTGCGGGGGCAGGAAGGGGCGTCTCCCGAAGAAGCGGGGCTCCCCCAGGATCTTCCCAGGGGGACGTGTGACTGTCTACGAACAGCGGTTACGCTGTGGCTCACTCCGCCCCTTCCGCTTTGTAGTTTATTGCGGTAACCTCATCGTTGCACCCTGATCGCCCCGTGCCACGCGCCCTGCTCATCATTTAAGGGCACACGTCTCTGGGCCAGCGACAGGCACAGACTCCCGCCCCGCACCGCCGGCTCCTGTCACGTAACTGAGGCTGAGCTTCTCGTGGGACGAGGCTTTGCTTTGCTCCCTGCGAAGGGCGTGGTTTACTGTGCGCGGAGCAGACGCCCGGTATCTGAAGCCAGACAGGCATCTGGTAGCTGTCGATACTGCCTGACACGTCCCTTCCGCTCTCCTTGAGAGCAGGAAAGAAATACTTTCTAACCCCCGTGCAGTGACAGCTGTCCACGTGATTGATTTGTTGTAACCATTGTAACATGTCACTTCTGGGGAAAAATCATTTAAAAGACACTGTGCAGTCTCTGGCCATGCCACCCTGAACAAACCTGGTCCCCTCTGATCTGGAAAGCTAAGCGGGGTCGGGAGCTAAGCTAAGATGGGAGACCACCTAGGAAGACCAGGTGCTGTAGGCGTAAAAAAAGTAAATAAACAAAATAAAAAATGAAAAATAAAAAGTAAGGGATTGTAAGCTGACACGGTCCCTGCAATCTGTGAGGTCAACTGAGAGTTTCCTCGATAAATAAATAAATAAAACATGCTGCGCGATGTCCTCCCCAGGGGCCGTGCACCGTAACGCTTCATGCTGTGATCGGAGCGACACGAGGCAGGACCCCTGTGTGACACGGGCCTGTCAGCGAGCGCCCTGAGCACAGGGCCCCGAACACCCCCTGCCGCACTGTCGAGGACCGGGAGAAACGCATCTCTGTGAGTTTCAAGTCACTGAGGTTTTGAAGTCAGCCCTTCTGAGCCGCGCAGCCCACGGCCTCCTTCGGGCCACGGCCTCCCTTGGGCCCCCGCGTCCACGCGTGTGAGCCGCGGCCCCGTTAACCTAGGCTTCGCCGTGGCGACCTATTTCCACACGTGCATTTTTTAATCTACACTCCCTTCCACTTTTCTACCCACCTTTATTTACACGCCAATACATTTAGACACGCACACGTGTAACACCACCCTGCACGTTAAATTATATGTTTTTCACCCATTTCTGGATCTGTTCTTCCATCTCCCCATCTGTCAATCGCACATACAGCCGTCCGTCCCTCTAGTCCTGACTCCGTTCACCTCCCTGACGTGACCACCATCGACGGGATGTCAATGCGCCCCACATCCTGGCGTTCACCCGGTCACCCGACGAAGCAATCCCACGTCCAGTGCCACCCGCTGAAGCGCAGACACCGACGAGCTGGGCGGGCAGGGCCCGGTACAGCCGAGTCAATGCTCCCTCAACCGTCTGCCTAAATACGTTTATTTTTCCCCAACAGAGATGAAATCGGCTGGGCTACGGGGCTCACTATGAACGAGCTTCACAATGTCTGCCGTTCAAGTCCTCACAGAAAAGCTCACGTGTCTCAATACTGCAATACGGACCATGTCCTTCAAGGCTTACCTCCCACGCTCTGGGGACAATGAGCGCACAGAGGAAGGAGCTCAGGGTCCAAGCCGGCGAGACGTTTCAATCCGGCCGCCCCAGGAATCGGAGGGAAACACCCGCCGCCGCCGACAGGGATGCCGTCCACCACGCAGAGACGCAGACGTCAACGTGCGGAAGGGCGAAGGGCCTGACTCCCTCCAAAACTAAAAGTCAAGGAAAAAATTAAACACTAAGCACGGCTGCAGATTCAAAGACCCACGAACAGACCGAGCGGCATGGGATGCGTGATTATTTAAGTGCTGATCTGAACACCGGACGTACCGAGAAATGTCCCACAGGTGCTACTGGCCATCCCATTGTGATGAGCATATTACACGTCACGGTTCTCAGCTGACAGCGTGATGATTATGCTTTAAAAAACACTGGTATCCCCAAATCCGAAGCTGTAACAAAACATATTCCGAAGAAATCACAAAAGAAAACTTGATCTTAGCTGTTATTTCCTAGACGAGGGACGGGGAAAAGCGCACGATCATGTTCGACTCGGGATGTATTTTAAGAAACCCCACGAGCGTAAGTTCATGGAAGACCGAAAGCGAGGTCAAAGAAATTACGGTCGAGATGTCGACGAGCCAAATTAGTAGGAGTACGAGTCTAACAGGATGACGGACGCAATCACTGAGACGCAGAGCTCTGCGCATCAGACACTGCGACTTGCCGGGCCCGCCCACCGCACTCACATGCGTGAGCTGCGCTGCTGTGACTGACAGTCCACACCGAGGTGCTTACAGTTCGTAAAGGTATTTATGTCATCTCTACGTGTGTGTGTGTGTGTGTGCGCGTGTGTGCGTGTACACACACACGGGGGAGATAATAAGAGACAGACAGACAGACATGGCCGGCGAGAGAAAACTCAAAGAGGAGGTGACCCAGACCACGTCAGCTCACCAAAACGCATCCAGACCACTACGGCGAGCGGCCGTTACGATCAGTAACAAACATGAAATTAAGTTCCAAATGAATTAAATTACAAAAGCAATTTTTTATGAAAACTGAAAAAAAAAAAGTCCAGTATTAATAGAGATTTAAGATTGAGACCGAATTTATTCAAATGGCCAAGACTAAGATAAAAATGGCCTAGATAAAAATGCACGTCCCCAGTTTGGAGCCAGAGTTTTTTCTAACTCATATCTTCAGAACGAATGTCATATTTACGTGAGGATTTATTTTAAAAGACATTCACGGATTCCGGCTCACAGTACAGATACGATAAACTAGTATTGAAAATGTGTTCTGTACACATACAAAGTCAGGATTGCAACACCATGGTACTTGTAACTTTCAATATTTGGCAAAATCCTGGTAATTATTTGTTCTAGTTGTTAGGTGTATGAAGATTCATTTTCATGTTCTCATTACCTGTGTCTATGAAACTTTTCATAATAAAAAGTAAATGGTTCCTCGAAGTTAAAACATGGAGTCACCATATGACCCCTAGCAACTTTACGTCTAGGCATCTCCCCGAAGGCAGAGGCGCAGAGTGGCCGACCACTGTGGACGGCCACACAGCCTTCCCGTGGACACTAAGCGCTTACCAAGTGCCAGGCTGCAGCAGAGCCGTACAATGTAGCATTCCTCAGCCTTACGGAAAGGAAGTTCTGAGGTGTCTTGCTTTTAAATTTTAAACACCATCCCCCTAGCGACTTGGGGGCCTTGAAGACATGGCTGCTTTCGCACCTGAACTTGGACGCTACGTGGCCAGTGAGGGCAGACGTGCTCAAGGCAGGACAGGCACGAAGAGGAGACACAGAGGCCAACCCAAAAGGCCTGCATGGCCACACGTGTGCCAACCTGAGAAAAAAAAAGTAAGGAACGTCACCCACGAGATAAGGAAAACACCCATGTGTCCACACTGACGCGAGGAACTGAAAAATTAAACGGGAGAAGCAATTAACTTTTGCTTATAGTACAAAATCCAGATTCTGATTAATCAAATGCAGGATTAACAAAAGTTTCTTAAAATCACAGTTTGGCAAACGCCACAGAATATTAATTACTGCAGGCGAGAAACATCAATTGGTGCTAAAATGAACACATGAAAGACTAAGAAACTGGTATTTGCAACATCTTCCCAGGATACGTACTGATTATAAAGGAAAACCTGAGCTGCAAGACACCAGCGCGTGTCCCCAAGGCACGCCATTTCCACGGCATCCCCGCCACAGACGGCCACTGCGGCTCAGTGACAGAAGCCAGACAGATCCACACTGAGGAGCGTGTGGTGGATCCTTCAGAAGTGTCGAAATCATGAAAATCAAAGAAAACTGCCCAGCTGCTCCATCCAAGCTGGTCGGGGGGCCGTGACGACCGCCTGCAGTCTGGGGCCCTGATTTAACTCCTGCCCCATCAGAGGGTCGGCCAGCGGCCCGACTTCCGTGGGGACGTCCCGGGTTATCTGGCTGGACCGTGTGTCCCCATCAGAGGGTCGGCCGGCGGCCCGACTTCCGTGGGGACGTCCCGGGTTATCTGGCTGGACCGTGCAGGTCAAACAGGTCAATGTAAGAGGAAGATGACAGAATGACACGGACTTTAAAAAGCCATGTCCTGATCTGCACGTTTTTGTAAGACAAAAATTATTCCAAAATGAAGAAATAACACTCAACTTAATTGTTTCCAGCCTTAACAAAAATACTCAAAAAGTGCCGGCAGTGCTAAGAAACCAAATACTAAACTCTGACAAAAATATATCAAAATGGAGCTGTCTGTTTCGAATGATCTTTTCAGAAATTTCACACAAAATTACAACAGGGGCGCATGAATACACACGCACAGCTTATTCTAGTCACTCACTGGTGCAAAACTATTCATGTTTAGAAAATTAACTTTTAACCCAATCGATAATTATAATGACAAGTATGATCAACTGTAATACACAAAAGATATTTTACTAAACCTATCGACGAATCTGGTAATCGATCCACAATAAAAGTTTCCTAAAATAACCTGAAAATAAGTAAACGAACCTTAAAACTAACAAGATCAGTATTAACAGTCAAATAACCGAGGGCAATTTCTGATTCTAAATATTTTGAAAATACCAACCAAATATGAAAGAAGACTATAATTTTGGAATTTTAATGAAACGCCACTAGAAAAGAATACAAAAATGGCTTTCATATATCGGTAATAAACTGGGCGTGTAATCCCCATCACTACAAAGCTATGAAATGCCTGGGAATAATAAAAAACTGTAATAGCAGTATCCCTACGTAATAGTTTGATTAAAAATAAACATACCTTGCAGTTGGGAAGACTCTTTTAAAAAGATTTATCCTTTCCTAATAAATCTATTAAATTTGGTGCAAATGAAATTAAAATGGCATTTTTTTCCAACTTGCAAAATTTTACGCCTCGATTCAGAAAAAAAAGTGCGAGTACAGACAGGGAACACTCTGGAAGAGAAGAAAAATAAGAGAGAACTCAAGGGGTTGGACAGGACCCAGAGGCATCAGTAACATTTAGTTATCAACAGAAGGTAAAAACAAGTAAATAGAGATGCAGCCAATTATATGTGGGAATTTCCAAAGGCTGCAGAATTTAAAACACGTGGTAACTGCTTAAGTCAAGGGAATAGTTTGAGTGTGTGACGCTTTAAAACCACAGCAATGATCAATGGAAAGAGAAATAAGTGACGAAATAATCGATGAGAAACAGAAAATAGAGACAAAAATCATGTAATACTAATGCAGAGACGTTTTTAAAGAAAAACGTGACACAAAAGGCATAAAACATCCTGCGCTCGGCAACGTGTCAGGTGTTTGTGGACCGTCATCGACGAGAAACGGGGATTCAGAAACTCTCTTTACAACCTGAGCTCACGAAGGCAGACGCAGGTTTGAGACGCGCCCTGTGAAGCACCCCAAAACGAGGAGAAACGGGACGAGGACGTACTGACAGCCGCCAGCTGCGGCCCCCTGCTGTGCTGCTACGCAGGGCCCGGGACTCCGGTCCCCGGCACTCCCTCCACGCGGCTGGTGACATGACGCTGTGAGCCACCAGAAAACGTGGCTGAGTAACGCGATGCGCCTGCTGGCGAAGCTAGGTGGACGCCCCGTGAGAGCAGATCAGAGAGGCCACCGCACCATCATGAGGTGCGTGAAGCTAGGTGGACGCCCCGTGAGGGCAGATCAGAGAGGCCGCTGCACCGTCATGAGGTGTGTTTCCCCGGACACTCGTGTCACCGATGCTCCCTCTGGAAATCTGGCTGGGGGTGGGGCTAAGGCCAGCCTCACAGCACCTCCGGCCACCACCGGGCGACGAGTATGTGCACGCTCCAGCCTCCAGCGGTCGGCGCCACTGTCAACCACTGGGTCTTCTGGGAGTAACGGAAAGCTCCCACGCAATCCACAGGCGCAACACACTCGTACGCGAGGCCACCAGGTCTCAGGATGATTCGTCATTCAGCAACGCGTAACCCGAAACGACCTCCAATCCACTGCTGCCACCGAGAAGCCATCAGGCTTCAGAGAAGCGGACATCAGCTCCGCGGCCACCAGGGCCCCTCCCTGACCAAATGAGCAGCCCCATCGCCGGGGGCCAGTCCTGGGACCAGGGACGGGCGTCCGCCTGGGGTCTGGAGGTACCACTCCCAGGACTAAAGACAGACCCGCCGGTATCACCATAGAACCGTAAGGGGGGGAGCAGAGAGCAAGCGGGGTTCAGAGAGGACTGTCACGGGTCCTGCGCCACTCACAGACCGGCCCTCGGCCCCCAGCCCTGCAGCCACTGTCCCCTGCCCGCCCACGTGGCCGCGACCACGCCACGGCTCGCCAACGCCAGCCCCGGTTTCACTCGCACCATGAAACTACTTGCGAAAGCCGCTTGGCTACTTCGCAAGTCCCACTTCCTGGACACCCGACCGTGCCCTTCAAAGCATTCGTTACGCCGCACGGTTGGTCACAAACGAGCACAGTGACCGCAGGCACGGATGCTCCCGCCACACCTGCGCGCTGACTCTGCCGCAGGGCGGAGGTTCCCGGGGGCCAGGTGTCTGCATCTGGGTGCTGCCCTGCTGGACCCCCGGCCTCCCCCAAGCAGCCCTTCCCCTCCTAGAGGTCCGGACCCCTCCTACCTGTGGTTCACAGGTGAGACGCGCGAACGAAGCGACTGCACAGAGACGGGCTCCTGGCGTCCGCTGCTCATCTGCAGGTGCGTTTCTCTTCCACGCACGGCCCTGAGGAGGACACAACGTAGGCCACGTTGGATCCGGATGAGACGCCGGGACTCAAAGCCGGATGAGCGTACGACGTGGAGAGAGTGAACGGAGGTGACGTTTTCGCCTGCCCGGGGCCCTCCCAGAGCGCCTTCGGCGCGAACGTGCAGAATGCAGGCGCGCTCTCGTGCGAATTCCGAATAATCTAAAGCCATAAAGCCCGACCTGCAGACCTTCTGAGATCCGACCTTAAAGGAAACAAGCCGTTCCCGGTTCCTCATTCATTAACCCATTAACTAACCCGAGTAGCTCCGGGGCTCCCCTCTAGTCAGCGGCCACAAACGTGGCGCTGCCTCGAAAGTCAGCCCTTCGCAGCGCGTGCCAATGACTGTCACCGCCACTGTCTGTCCGCGACCCGAGCCCCATCGTTGAGCACGTACCTCGGACACATCTCCCGCCTTATTCCTTGGGCGATCCGACTGTCTCGCTGTGAAGACGGCCGAACTGGTCTCTAAGTCACACGCTCCTCACGGTCACTCAGAGATGACTCCTCACGGCCGCTGGGAATGCAAAGCTGGACACGACAGCCCCCGTTCCCGGGAGGCAGACAGGCAGACGTGAGGACGGGCACAGCCTGGCTGGAGCGCTGAGGTTCCTGTGGACGTCCTCAGAGGCAGAAAGGAGAAGCAGCCCTTCTGTTCCCAGCTCTCTACGCGGCAATGGCGAAATTCTGCAGCCAAGTCTCCCGGACGTTCTGCTCAACGATGCGTCAGATTGTCACGCAGCAATATACAAATATACAGGTAAACGATGCTGTGCTATTTAACTTGTGTGAGTACAGAGTCTCGGAAAGAATGCCGAAACAGTCACCGTTGGAATCATCATTATGACAACATTGATGAATAAGCGTTACCGAATTTTTATCACATCACAAGAATCCCATTCCCCCCGAATAGCAACCATCAACATTTCAGTAAGAACTAGAGGCACATCTCTGTACACACGACGCATTTATGTTTGTCCCAAGTGACAATTTAAATATCGACTGAAAACAAACTTCCTCATCAGAATCAGAACACTTTTTCGGTGTTTGAATTATGTTCATGATGAATAAGCTATACTCATGACAACCTCTCTCTCAATTAATGTGTATTTCAGCTGCTCAATTTGTCATGATCTAAAATGTACTTTCTTCTTTGGAAATCTTAGCGTTGGAATAAGATCCCAACGACGTCACACAGTTTCAAAAGTTTTACACACTCAATTTTGATTGTCGCTGCCAAACTGCTGTTCAAAAACCATAGAGATGAATGTTTTGATCGATATTGGATAGAACCTCTAAGAAGTTTTCGCAATTTGTATCATAGGCAACTGAGATACAGCACTTTTGACGTGTTTGACTATCACATAACATACAACTATAACCGTTCACTGGAAAATTTCAAAAAGCTCTCAGAGAATTAAAAATATTCGTAACCAGACTTTTTCTTCTCATACAGATGCATATACATATATATATATATGTGTGTGTATGTGTGTGTGTGTGTGTGTGTGTGTGATACATAAAGAGATAAATAACGGATATGGAGCTGTTTAATTATTTTGTATAAAATTTAACTTACATTTATATATAACACGAAGCAGGCTTCTAGAAATGTTTAGGCTGGGACTACTACTACAATAATTTAAAAAATAAGATGTAAGCCAATAAGATGAGAAGAAGCATTAACAGATCTTGATGCCTAAAGCTAATTTTACAGATCCATATGCGCATACACACCTATAATATACATGGACATCACTGTGCACATGGAAATTTGCAAAGACAACATTTACACAGCACAGCAAAATAATTCCTTTAGCAATGTGACTCTATCTTAAGTATGATTTAAAATGACAACTTCCAATGTCTTCTTCTTCCTAGGGATAAAACATACCCCAGGGTTATTTTGTCATAAGTATATGATCTAACCTTTTCTTTTCATGAGAACCTAATGGCATGAAGGTATAGAGTCCATCTGTCCGTCCCTCTCCCCCAAATCCCTCTGAACAAAATGTCACGAAGCCTCAAGACGCCAGTTACCGCTAATTATCTATTACACCGCCGAAGCATTACAGAAGCCAACTCGCGAGAGTCTGCAATGAAATAGTTACAAATGTGTATCTCGTGACACTGTGCATTTAGAAAAACCAGATTTTAAAAAATGTTTGCACCTGTTATTTACAAAGCCGGCTTGAATGCTGTCGTGTGGACCAGTTACATATAAAACTATCAGAGAGAGAACAAAATTTCATATGGAACACATCTCCCATGATTCAATGTGTAACGCTGTACCAGCAATACCACCGCAGAGCTACGATCGCACAGCTACGCCTTCTTTTTTTCGACGTGAGTCCAGCACCGAACCACGGCTTCGAACTCCCCGAGGAAGGAAACGGGGAGGCATGCGCCGTCCTCACATTTCCCTCTCCTGGCGGCTACACAACCAGGTGACGAAACACGCGCAGCGCAAGAATCCACCATCCGCTCGAGCTCACTGCAAAGACACTTGGAGAAAATGAAACCGCGACATCTTACGATGGATTATTTACAAAATTATACTTTGTGAGACTCCGTACATCTAGAAAGACTAGATGTTCAAAATTAAAAACGCGTGTCTGCCTAGTATTTACAGAGCTGTCTTGAATACTGTCATGCAACCGCGGGAACACATACAGAGCTGTGTGTAGTTCCAAGAGGTAGTGTTACTTCTCTTAAAGTCACTTATATCGTAAATGTTTTCTTAAAAAAGAATATAAAAGACGCGTCGGGGGAGGACGGACAGGCAGAGTACAGAGGGTTTCGGGGTGCTGGGACCCTGTGGCGTGCCGTGACGGGGGCGCGTGTCCTCAGACTCGCAGACTGCGACGCCAGGGCTCGGCCCCAACGTCAACTGTTGGCTCCGGGTGGCTGTCACATGTCAGTGTAGGTCCTTCAGCTGTATCCCGTGTGCCACTCTCGGGGGGGTGGCTGATAAGGGCACGAAGGCCCACGTGCTGGGGTGGTAAAGGGGAAGACTGTGCGTGTTTGAGGGGCAGGGGGTACATGGGAAATCTCGGGACCTTTCCCTCAATTTTGCTGTAAAAACGGCTTTTAAGAAAGTCTTAATAAAAAATCTCAGTATAAAAGGACTATATCGGTAAGCTTGGTACATCCAAAAACACCAAATGAATTTACATGGTGTTACGGCGTGACTTTTTGAACATACGATCGTACACGATACGACGGTCAACCATTCCGTGAAGATGGGGTAAGTGCATAATCTTGTCCACTCGAAACCGAAGGAATACATAAAGTTTACATGGCTCCAGGAGCTTGTTTATCAGTGATTAATTTCATTGCCACGTCATTTTTTAAAAACAATGGTACTAGCAAATTTACAGTGAAATATTTACAAGATTATACTTCGTGAGACTCTCGACACATCTGGAAAATCCGGCTGTCTGAAACCGCCTGTTTCACTAGCTCGTCATTTACAAAGTTGCCTTGGTTATTGCCACGTGACAAACGAACACGCAACCACGTGTTTTAGAGGTTCCACAAACATTCTTTAGAGACACGATCTCATTCCGAACCTCAGCATATCCGGGAAAATAAGATATGCCTGCATGTCCCTTCCGTAGAGGTATTTTTTATATAAAATGGAAACCAGTTTAATGATTAAAATGGGCTATAAACATTTTTTTAACTGTTACTCCATCTCTTCCCTGACAAATTATATACAATAGCAACTGCTCAACACAGCTTTCAAACAAACCCCTAAGGACCTATGGAGTTCTTAAAATAATTTGCAAAAGTTAAATATTTTGACCTTATAATTTAATAACGTGTTGACTATAATCTATGCACGTCCGCAGTCAACATACACCAAAAACAGAAAGAAAAAGGCGTACATTAGAAATGAGATAAAAAAGCACCCACTACCCTCGTCCATAACCCTCAGAACAAACTAAATATACAGAGAAAAAAACCCTAACTACATTAAAACACTTCTGATATTTAAACTATATAAGCAATGTCTACATGTGTAGAAAAGACAGGTGTTTCAAAGATAAAACATAGCCGTCTAAACATCGCACTCAACATTAGACAGCTCATGTGCCATAATTTTAGGTGAAATAGATTTTAAAAAATTAAAACTCACAGAGATTTCTGTACATCTACAAAGTCAGATGGTATAAGAACAAAAATCTGATCAAATGAACACAGCTACCTAACTGCCCCAAACATACCCGGCGAAATGAAGACAGACGCTTCGGGTGACACTTCTACGGTGACAGGTATTTTTACCCTGGTTCACCGCTATCATATTTCGCCTGTGTGTGTGTGTGCGCGTGCGCGCGCGCGCGCATGCGTGCGCATGCACACGCACGGGAAAATGCTATCTCTACAAACCTAGGAAGTCCAGATGTTTCATGAGAACCTTGTATATGGTGCATATAGCGGTCAAATGCTTCCCTTTTCTGTCCCAACACTGAACATCTAAAAGTTAGTTTGGAATAAGAAGATTTTACATGTTTAGGTTATTTAAAATATAAATAATCATTTCTACACTTTAACAAAGCATGTCTGATTCAAACCATCTCAAGAACACAAAAAGAAACAAGCAAAAACCCTCGATCTCAAGCCTAACTCAAGAAGACCCCACTCTATGATCAATGATTCTGCCGTTCACAATTCAATAAAAGTATGATTCTAGAATTACTGACAGAGATTAGAAATCCAAGTGTTTTATAAAACATTTCTCTTCCATGTGCAAAATAATATAATCCCCCTCAAACACAACCCAGACACAGTATGGCAATTCGATTTGCCAAAATAGTGTTTTCACCTCTGTCAATTACTTTAATCAAAAAAAAGTCGGCGAATCCTATGCAGATGTTATATATAAAAACATCTGTCCACCACGTAACTAGCAGCCTCACAATACCCTCTAGCAAATAAACAAAAGTTCATAAACTAAACCTTCCTACCCCATCTGCGTCCAGCGAACCGAGGAGCACAGACTAAAGCTGAGTAATAATCATTTGGCCAAATAATCACGTTTAAATCCTATGGCTTTTAATAAAGTTTCACACACACATACACCTGTGTACATGTATGTATAGATGCAAATATATGTATACACATATGAATATGTAAACAATCCTTGTATTTCAAAGACAAAATTAAAGTAAAAACTTAATAACAATTTTATATACAACCATCTAAAAATATACTCCTCCTGCTACCCATTTAGGGAAAGTCTGCGCTGTGTGCAACATACCTATAAAACACGCAGTTATAGAAGTTCCTAAGCTTTAAACGTTGTAATAACTGCGTATTATGTAAACGTCTTACAAAAACATTCCTTTGTCAGTTCACGATTCGATGAACTCAGGTTTGACACGCCATTGCTGACATCCCCCATAAAAACGTATAAATCACCTGTACGACTAGAAATAAGGACTTTGGAGCAAGGACAATTCGCTATTATCAGTGAAAGTCGAATTCCACTGGCAAATGAAAACTTTGCTCACCTGTGATCTCGGTCAGCACAGGCAGGGATTTCTACCTCCTACGAATGTGTTGTGTTCTCTCTGTCTACAGAAAACCACCAACAGGCACACCGGCGGTTACAATGCCATCTCCCCTATGAGCGACCTCGTCACCAAGCCGTGACAGGTTATACCTGGTGCACATTCACAAGCTAAAAACTGAGCATGACGACTCTGACCACACGGAAAGGCCAGATCCAGCCCCTCTTAGCAAACGGAAAATCTTCTATCCTAGTAAGTGGACACGTGTCTACATTTATGAAACATTTACAACGATGTCTGTACGTGCAGAAAATTGCACGTTAAACAAAAATATTAATTAAACCAATGACACTGCTGATTGTAACCAAATGTAGAGCAACATGTACCAGAAATAAGATAACGTTGCAAAGCAATTTAACACGAACTCCGCTGGCAAAAGGAAAACAGCCGACCTCTGCTTAACGTCGGATATTTACAGACGGTCCCGCATCGGAGCGGTGGACGAGGCCCGTCCCGCACATCTGCAGCTCCCCAAAGCGCCTCAATTCAGCTTTTACTTCCCTAGTACCATGAAGCAGCCCAGAAACCCCTCGGCGACCAACAGAACTGGACTCTGACAGCACCCTGGACGGCAGGCTCTGGGCTCGGTGATGCGGCGAAACAGCTTTTCTTGTGACACGCAGAGCAGGGACAAGTCCACGCAACCTGAGCCCGGCCTTCGGTGCAGTGACGCCATCACAGCAGAGATGTCACCGTGGAGGCCATTTGCATGACACCCCTACATCTACGCAGAGCGACAGATGTGGACAGAACCACCCGCCCCCACCCATGGCAGCACCCGCCAAGGGATGTCTAAGGCCTGTCGTTCAGAGTCCCCTAATTCAAACTGTTAACGATGACAACACATTGGGAAATGTTGCGAAGCAATTATACTTCCTTATTTCATACCCATTATTCTCAGAATGACACCTGGCACCTTAGTTTTCCCGATTAATGCGACAGGTTCCCCCCTCCAGGTCCCCCCTAACCCCCTGCTTTCCATGAGCACAAAAAACATACACAGACTCCTGTAGCTTTACAAAACGTCCTCGCGATTCCTCTCTGAAATATTTTCCTGGAAACGATGTTACAAAACAGGTTTTTAGACACTTTCCTAGAAAACCAGCTCTGTTATCACATGAACCGTTACCAAAGGATGCAACAGAGACTTGTTTACAAACGTAGCCTCTGCGCGTCAGCATTACATTCCGGGAAACCTCAAGTAAACAAATCAAACAATAAAACCTTCGTGTGCTGAATTCCCTGCCCACTTCCTAACACCGACGAACAGTGTGTGCACATTCCCCGCTCGCTGGGTTTTATATGTAATTCCTCTTCACGCCACGAGCTGAACACAATACCCCTGAGACTCTGAACACGCTGTGGGGCGGCACGTGTCCCCTGAACACGCTGGCAGGCAAGAGGAGACATCCCAAGATCCGCGTGCCACACGTGCGTCCAAGCGCCACGCGTGATGGCTCTTGCTGTAAGTGTTTCGATGGTGAGATGATGCTCCGCAGCCAGAGAAACGTCCTTTTCCCTCAAACCCAAAGACGTCCAATGAATGTGGACATCTGAAGGGCCAGATGAAGTCAGGGCGTTATAAAATGTACCTATTTCATGAGCCGGGGAAGCTTCTAGCTGGCTCCAGATGCGCTGTCCTTCCCTTTCTGCCCACATGTCCCCGCAGGGCTGGTCACAGCCACCGGACACCGTCTGCAGCAGCGCGACGCTGTGGGAAACACGCTCTGCCTGGGCAGACGCCGCCCACATGCTCGCTCCCTGGGTGGCATCAGGATGGGGCTGTCCTCACGAGGGCACCAGACACATTTCTGGGGATTCGAGTGGCAGAGGATGCGCGTGATGGAACATCCCAGGCCTCAGGAATCCACACGGTCAGCGACTGAAAGCGGAGACTTTCCCGTTTGGGCACAAGACGCTCTGTTACCAGTTTATATAAACCTTCGTCCTGTTCTCTAAGTGCAGCTCATGTCTAACGTTCTGGAAACAGGCCACCTTCCAGGACACGGTGCGGTTCTCAGCGTCATTCCCACAGACCTCTGGAGCCGACAGGTGAATCAGAGCCTCTGAAGACAGAAGTCAAGGGACCGGTTTGAAGTTTCAATACAGCTGACCGAATGAATGCTCAACAACAACAGCCCCGAACAGCCACCCGATGGCGTCGAGGCGCCCACCACGCGGTGACGCCCTACGAGTCGGGACGAAGTCCTTGTCCATCTTTCTTGGCCCCGTTCCGGTCCTCAGACGACAGACACTTCACCTTTTCACGTCTCTGTAAAACTGACAAACGTATCGTACGATGGTCTTTCCACGATGGTTACAAGGGACCGAGGTGCTTCACGTGTTCACCTGCCGGGACCTTCTTCTCCGAGTTACCTGGACGTGTTTTCGTCACTTTAAAAACAATTGTTCAAAGTCTTTTGTTTTACACCAAGCGGAGCGTGAGGCTCGCCACCCCATCCTCCGCTCCCAGCGGCACAAAAAGCGCCCGCATCTCTGGACTCGAACCTTTACGGACAGAGGGGACGTGAGGCCGGAGCCGGAAGCCGAACCGCCCACCCCGGGCGGCCGATCCTCGCGCCCGCTGTCCGTCTGCACGTCGGTGGAACGGAAACGAGTCACGGTCCGTCAAACGCCTGACGGCCGCCGGCCGCCCCCGTGAGGGAGGAGATCGGCAGAGTCGGTCTGTGCCTTCCTAGAGCCGCCTTCCCCACTTGGCTGCATTCCAGGCTTAGACAGAAAGCCATGGTTTTGATGAAAGTTTCTCCGTTACGACCTCGGCCACCTTGATGGATGGGTGTTGCTGCTGTCACTGTGACATCCCTCAGGGAAAACGCCCCGTGTCTGCGCGTCAAGGCCCTGACGCCCAGCCTAGCTCACCGGAGGGCAGAACACGCGCCAAAGACCACGAGGAAAATGCAATGCCCCGAAGTGCCCGCCGCCCCCCAAAAACGACAGCAGCAACGTCACTCGATAACCTGTGCGCGGTCGTCCGACACAGCGGTCGCGTGTTCTGTTCCGTCCAAGCCACAGAAGAGGCTCGTTTCAAGCGAGTTCCTTCCTAAGTTAACGTTTTCAAAAGCCTCCGTGATTTTTCATCGTCTTCGGTCCAAGCCTCCGAAAACCGTGTCCTCGTTCCCGGCCTGCGTCCCTTCTTCAGTGGCCTCGGCACGGGAGGGACTCGGACGTGACTGTCTGTGCTCTTCCTCCCTTCCCAAACCTGGGGGAATCCCGACTAAGCGGCAAACTTTCCGAATTCGCGGGTAAAAGCGCACAGAGAAGCGTCGCCAGAACACAGGACAAGGCTTCAGCCAACACGCACGGCCCAGGGCGCCTTCGCAGCCCGCCTGTGACGAGCAGGCCGTCCCCCAGAACCCGCATCTCCCACACCCGACGCCCAGACGCTCGCTGCCGTTGCCAGTTTACAGCACGTTTCACCGGGTCCAGCAGGGGATGCTAAACATCCGAACGCAAAGCGGTTCACGCTCTGCAGGCCACTGGCCAGCACGGAACACGACAGACACGGCTCCGGAGGCCGCGTGTCAGGCAGAGGCCACGACGTCCCGTGAGGCCACAGCTGCTCTCACGGCGTTTACTAAAAGCATCTACCGCTTCCCAGCAACTTCTACGTACTGGCCGTTTCCATCCAAAGTGAATTTGGGTAGTTGATCAACTATCAGCAAATCGTCGAAACGCAAACGTGTTTCCTCAAATGAGGCACGTCATCCACGTGTATGTTGGCAATGCGTCCTCATGAGACACACGGCTTCGTGTCCTCGACTGAACTGAAGGACACTGTTTTGTGCCACACACGCGACCCGGGGGCTGTTCTTGGCCGCTCCTGGCTTGCGATGTCACGAGAAGGAACGGGGCGCGGCACGTCGGCTGTGATCACGTGAGCGAGTGACTCCCGGCTTCTGTTCGTATTTTAAACATTCTAACAACACGTTTCCTCGTCGTCCGTCTGCACGGAAACGCGCGGACACAGGAAACGAGTATTTCGCTCCGAATCGTGGCGTCTAAACCAACGGCACCTGTCGACTACGGACCCGGACTCAAGCCTGAAGCAGTGTGACTCCATCTCGGCTGCCGACGGATGGACAACACGTGGCCCCTTCCAGGGGCCAGAGCGGCGGCTGCTGGCCGCCGTCTCCACAGAAGACCGCCCCGCCCCTACGGCGATCGAGAAGGGACAGACTGTGACGCCGCTGGCCGCGGCCGGTGCCTGGAAGTGAGCACGACATGGCAGGGGACAGAAGCTGTCCCCTGTGCCCGCTGCCCCAGAATGGAAGGGTCTCAGAGCTGCCCTCGATCCCCACGTCACCTCTCCGCGGACCTCAGGCACACCAAGGTCACCTCAGACCGGTCCCCTCTCCCCTGCCTCCCTCCCCGCCCCATCTACAGCCACCTCGCCCACCACTGCCTCTGAGCCCTCACCCGACGCTGTCACAGATCAGCCGAACCCCAGACCCCCTGCAGCACTGGGAGGCGTCAGGATCAAGAAGAACCATGACGTGCGTGACCCTCAGGCCGGCCCTCCCCCACGTGCGACACCCCAGCTGGCCGGCAAAGCAGCAGCACCCTGGGCATGGCTCTGCTCAGACGAGGCCCGGCCACCACCACCAGCGCCCTTTCTCCCAAGGGTGAGCGACCATCCTCGGCTGCACCGCACGGCCACGGGGGAGGACCCCGGTCACCGCCACCCTCAGCAGATCCCAACTTATCCCTCTCCGTTCTCACGTGATTCTGCCAGTAGGACGGCGCAGGTGACCTCGACTGGCTCGGCACACCGAAAAACCGACCCGCCCACAAGGCCCGAGCTCACCCGCTTCTGGCAGAATGGGGGAGACACCGTCCGCGCGCCTGAGGGACACTGTCCCCTCATCCAGGCCCGGCTGCGTCTCACAGATGCTCGTTACTGACACTGCACAGACACCCACCTCATTCACGCACACGCACGTGTGTGCACACACCCCAACAAACGCGGACGGCTTCAGGAACGAGGCCTTGCTGTGTTCTGCTGTCCACGCAAACTTTTTCATTTAAGTTTTTTCCAAATCGCTATCTGATTACTATTCGACGCCCTCACGACAGCTTACGAGCAAAGCACACGCACCTGGTCACGGGCCGCTCAGCACAGACAGCTAATGATCCGTCACCCGCACAGGTAGACAGATACTGAAGTGCGACGGGAGATGAAAAACTCGATCAAAAACGCGTGGCATTCAGCAAACCGGTTCCCGAAGGCTCAGCGTCCCCAACTGCGAACGGCCAATCTCGCCCCCTCGAATCGGTGTGAACACTCCGAAGTCTCCAGCTGTGGCGCCTTCGGGGCTCCGAGGATAAGCTTCTGCGTTTGCTTTCACCAACGGACACATGTACAGAATAAAAATGAATTAGCTCAGAACGTCTGGAAATTTTGCCAGCGGACGTCTGAGGAGCTGGCAGGGGCACAGGACACGTGCCGCTGCCCGTGCTCGGCTCTCGCACACCGAGCCGACACGTCCTGCTGAGGACAGCTCTCTCGGGAGCGTCTGGCGAGGCGCCCTGACCGGATTTCAGTGTCATGTCAAGCTCAAAGTTTGAAATCATTACGCTCAGACAAGGTCCCACGTCATCATGAACCTGGCCCAGGCCTCAGCGGTGCACGCTCACTTTTCTCCTAGGTCATTTTACCTGGAGCGCTCTGCGTTTCTGTCCTACACGCAGTTACGACGACCTTCGGCCGCGACACTGCTGGGCGCCAGCCACACGGACGGGCCAGGAGGTCCAGTGACAAATGCCCGCTTCCTTCGGTCGTCACCTGGGTGAGCGAAAAGACTCGGTGTAAGACCGAGGCGGCTATAGCGTGACACGGCCACAACGAGCACGCTGATGACAAGACGGCCTAGGTACTTAATGCACTTGAGTTCCGCACTGTTCACGTGCGATCGGGCCCAAGGCGGCCGGGACGCGCAACGTGCAGCCGCCGCGAAACGCGTCTGAGAACGCAGAGAACAGCAGAGCGCACTGACTGCTTGTCGAAAGGAGGCTTTACCTAAGCGCGACGTGTTCTCTCCTGGTCTTTGAGACAGGATTATGGAAACCAGTAACTGTCATCGTGTAATTCTCTAAATTACTTGTACAACCTACGATGAGACCTCCCAGAAATAAAACATGTTTTCTTTACCAAAATATAAGCCTTCTGATCTCACATGCAGAACCAAAAAAGGTGAACTCACAGAGAGCAGAGCGGAGGCTGCCAGGGGCTCAGGGCTGGGGGACACGGGAGAGGTGTCACTCACGGGGGACAGCACGGTGACTGTGGCTACTTCTGTGCTGCACACGGTGGACCCCTGAACATTGCGGGAAGGAGGCCACACAGTCCAAAGTCCACGTCTGCCTTCGACTTCCCCAAACCTAGACTGTGCCCATCCCTCAGTACACACGGGGGTCCGGGACCCCCCAGATGCCGCCCGCGGTGCTCAAGCCCCTGATAGCCTCCCCTGGGTGGGCAGCACAGGGCGCGGGGCCCCACTGTGGTGATGCCGAAGCTGCTGTCCCCGGCCAACCTCCTGGCTGACCTCCCGGCCACCAGGCCACCGGGCGAGCTGGCACACCTCCCAGCAGCGCGGGGCAGCCAGCGCTCAAGGTCTATCCATCCACTGTTTGAGAATCTGCACGAAACAGACCCTGGAGCCACCCCCAGGGACAGTCCGCTGCCTGCTGACTGGGGACAGGCGTCACTTACTGCCCGCTGACTGGGGACAGGCGTCACCTACTGTCCGCTGACTGAGGACAGGCGTCACCTACTGCTTGCTGACTGGGAACAGGCGTCACCTACAGCCCAGCCCACTCACTGGGGACAGGCGTCACCTACAGCCCAGCCCACTCACTGGGGACAGGCGTCACCTACAGCCCAGCCCGCTCACTGGGGACAGGCGTCACCTACAGCCCAGCCCGCTCACTGGGGACAGGCGTCACCTACAGCCCAGCCCGCTCACTGGGGACAGGCCCACGCTGTGTCAACGTCCGAAGCTGCCTGTCAGTGTTTGCATCCGGAACACACACGGTGGCGCTGGATCCCACCGAGCATCTCTGGGGCATGGTCACTCACTGGGGACAGGGCCTCTCGCCCCGTGACTGCAAACAGCAATTTTTCTGTCTCCACTTTCTGACCCCGAAGCACTGAAATGTGTCCCCTGCAATAACACTGTGACCTTGGCGACAAGGAACAGAGCCAGCCTCACTACAGCATGTCC